GGAGATATTCTTTGTTAACAAAATAAGGGTCATAGGCCTCATAAAAGGATTAAGGCCCCCAGGGGTGGCCATGATGCCCCCTGGTTGCGACATGGCTCTTGTCCCTGGGTACCCTCCCTTTTCTCTCACCTGCCATGCCTTGATGTACTTAGTTGATTTGTAAAAAGACAGGCTGCCCTGGGTCCTAGAGAACCCTCATCCATCCTTTGACCAGCAGGTCCCTCCCAGATCCCACTAGTCCCAGTCCTGCCTCTCAAGCGCTCAGTGGACTCTCCTGGCCCGTCCATGCCCCCAGGGCACCTGTTGCTTTAAGGGCTATTTGTGGTCTCCTTCCAGCCCTATAGCTACACCCATGTCTCATGGATGTTACTGATTATAACAGCAGGCCTCCAAGCCTTTGTTGGGGCTTCAGCCTTTCTGACTTTGGCCCTTTTTCTCTGGCTGGGCACCTCTCAGCCACAGCTTCTGGGCTGTAGCCCTTTCTGGCCTCTTGGGCAGCAAGGGCACTGCTACAGCAGCCAGAACAGCAGGCTAGCTGTGAAGCATAGAAGGAAACCCCTGTGGGTGGCTGGAGCTGAAGTGCTTTTGCCTCTCTCAGGCACTGGGCACCTGGCTCTGATTTCATCCATCTCCAGCTATGGCCTTAGCCCTCTCAGCTCCAGGCCTTCTCTGGTTCATGACCTGCCCTGGCAGGACTCTAAACCTTGGTGTGCCCGTCGGGCACTGCAGTGTGGTCTCCTCATTCACCCCTTACAGCTATGCTCAGTCCACTGGGTAATACTTCCCTGGAAGCAATAAGCTCCTCACTTGCGGTTCCTAAGGCAGCTGAGGTATCAGTGAGTTGCTCTTCTGCAGCCATCCTGCTCATGAGCTCCTTTTCCTACTGCCTGCAGGCCCATACTGCCCGCTTGGTCTCAGGCACTGGTCTTATGTGTGTCTAAAGCCCCACCCCTTCCAGTCAGGTGGCCACCCACAGGAGTTTCCTTCTAGGCTTGATGGCTGGACCTCAGCACTGCTGTAGCAGTGCTCTTGCTGCCTAAGCAGATCTCTGCCCAACTGTCTTTTTACTGGGCTGCTAGCCCTGCAATAGCCTATGGATCCTTGGTTGCCTGCTCCCCTGCAGCTAGCGCATAATGGGCACCTGGGGACCTCCCTGCTGATGCTTTTCCCTTAAAATAATGGGAGCTTGTGACTCCCTGTTACAGGCCTTTACAAAGATATTGCAGCAAAGCGATTATGTTTAATACTGGTCAGAGCTTCAGGAAATCCTTCAAGTGTTTGCCATTCATGTTAACCGTCTTGCTTTTCCTATTTGTTTTACAGATCTATTTTGTAATATTGTTTACCGTATGTGCCTCACGTTCCTAATTCTATGCATGACGAGTGCTAAGTGTGTGGTAGATAGAGTGGCTTAGTTCTCTGCATGTTGCCATACTGCATTTGGACCAAATGGATTAATTGCTCTTTAATGCATGCAAAAATTTTTTTTTTTAAATTGAGGGCTCTCCTGGGATAGGGCTCCAGGTCAAATCTTCATGTGAGAGCAGGGAAAATTCAACAACCATTAGCTGTTACAGTATCCTATTCTGGAGGATAGAAAACTATGCCCTGTCCTAAGGATTCCAATTCTGTTCCTGCCTTTTTTTCCATTTATCTTTTTTCCTTCTCAGGAACCCCACCTACCACCCTCCCTCACCCCTGATGCCCTTTCAAGTGCAGAAAGAGCTCCTAAGAATCATGCTCTACTTTTAGCATTTGCCCCAAACAGCAATTGTCCTTCCCTATCCCTCAAATCCTCAGCTGCAGCTGTGTGCCTGTTTGAGTGAGAAGGTGGTACACCAATAATGAAAGGAAGGGTAACTGCTGGACATGTCTTCTTGCCTTAGTGAAACTCTAGGAAACTCTAGAAAAATTGTGTGAGAGCAGCAAAACACCTTTAAACCCTCAAAAAAGGAACCAATTTTAGAAGGACTGTTTGTCAATTAGATATCAGATTTAATTACATTTTTCAACCAGAAGACTCTATGAACCAATTATTGAGGCCCCACCCCACTGATATGGGATAGATCTGCTTGTGCAGAGCTCATGAAAAATCAAAGCCTTTGCTTCTATAGTGTATGTACAGCAGTCTTCTTTAGAAGTCCCATTTAGATCATATTTATTATCAAGAACTAAGTGCAGTAAGAAAATACAGGCTTCTTACAATAACAGAGCAGCTCCATGTTAAATATTTGTCCAGACCATAATTGCTTGTAAGAGAGCCAAAAAGTAAGCCCACCTGACCTTCAGTTGTTAGCCACATTTCTCTTGTAGCATTTTCCCATCACCAAACAGGCTGGTAGTAAATTTAATTTTTTGCTGGGTTTTGTTGCTGGTAGGCAGCATTTGAATTTTTGTCTTGATATATTGTAAAATGGTTGGAAAGAGTTTACCTGCTTAAGATAACATCACAAATCAGTTCACCAATGAAAACTTCTATTGTATTTCTTTTGGGTAAAAATCCATTTCTAAAAAGTTGAACATAGCAGAGGAAGAAATGTGTGAACGTATATAGTCATCTTTGCCTCCCTAGTTGATGTATTGCTGCCACCTTGTGACTGTTTGAAGAAACAGCAAATGTACAGTATTTGGATTGCTCCCACATGGACAAATAATATTTGTCCATCTTTTGCATCAGTCCTTGCGTATAGCTTAGTTCTTAGAGTATGGGCAAATGTATATTTGTAGCAGCTGCAGAAGGGAAGGAGAAGCAGCTGCTTAAGTGCTTGCAGCAGCTGTTACAGTGTAACTGGTATGTGTGCATAATCCTGTAGCTAAATGGCCCCAATTTTGGCCTTGGATGAAGCAGGGCTAAAGCTGGAGTGGTTTTGATGCATTTGCTACAGACTCATGCATACGTAGCAGTCACAGAAGTTCCCCCTTCCCTTTTGAAGCTGCTACAAATGTATGTTTGTCCATACCCTTAGATGAGGACTTAACTTTTGGTACGCTTCTAAAACATAGGGTGTGAACACACATGCATTTGGAAGCATTTCAGAAAGGGGAAATTTCAGAAGGGCAGCAACTGTTACATCCTAAATGTTAGGGGTGGACAAGCCAGAGAGGGTACAAATGTGTAGTACAACTGCTCCACCTTTAGCACTGCTTCATTTAGAGTTAAAGTTGGAGCAGTTTTACTACATTTGAATTATTTCTGGCTTGTCTACCCATAACGTAACAGCTGCTGCCCTTTTGAAATGGCTCCAGAAGTACATGTGTCCTTATCCACAGATGAACTGACTGGAATTTGTCCAGTTCAGGAGTGACTGAGATATGGCCCTTAGGCCAGATCCAGCCCGTGGAACCATGTCATCTAGCTCATAGGGCTCCCCATGGCTCTGGAAATTTGGCAGCTGGGGTGCAGTGGCAATGTTATTTGCTGTGGTTCCTGGAGTCATAGCAGCTATTAATTAATGTTGTTGCTGCTGCTTGTCCTGCTGCCAAATTTCCAGGCCCATGGGGAACCCCATTGGTCAGATGATGCAGCCCTATGTGCTGGATTGGGCCCATGGGCTGACCCCAGGCCACTAATCTGCCTGTGAAATGTGTTTGGTACCACTGATCTACTTTGCTAATTTGTCAGTGTCAAGTGATCTTGATTGAATTCTGGCTTCTGTGTTCCACAGAACTTTTTAATATTTGAACCATGAATTATGGTCTAATTGTTACAGGTAGACATTCTGGGAATGGTACAGATGCTTTAAAAATACTCCAACATTAACTCTGATTAAAGTGGTATTAAAGTTGGAACAGGTTGTTGCCAACTTGTCCTCACACAACAATAAAGGGTCATCATTTTATGTTGCTTGAGTGTGGAAGGGTGCAGGGGAAATCCTAGAACCATTTTAATGAATGATCTTTAGTTTACACTACCTCAGCTTTAAAGACACCAGTACTGCAATAGTCACCATTAAAATAACTTGCAGACAATTGACATAGAGATAAACTGAAAAATCCCAGTTAACCTAAATTCTGGACTAACTGGAGGTTATTTATATCCCCTAGAGTTACCTCTGTTTTATCACTCCTAAATGGGAGTGCCTGAGATAGGATGTGGGAGGATCAAGCAGGGGTGAGTCCAGATAACTGCTGAGAATAAGAAGAGAAAAAAGATGTGGATTATGAAGTCCTTTCAGCTGATTATGCTGGCTGTTGTATCTGCCTCTGGCTTCCCAAAGCGCAGAATGCAAGCAAAGCTTGTATGAAATGCTTTGAAATTCCTTGTAGTCCTTTCTCTCTCCTTGTACTATTCAGAAGTTTAATATATCTTCCTGAAACCTTCACAATTCACCTGTACTGGAGCTGACACGTGATTTCCCTGTAGAAATGGAGAATTATTTCAGTTTGCAAGATGCTGCTGTGTGATAACAGCTGTCAAATATTGACTCACAAATGACCAAATTGTACATGAACAAAATACACTTTGAATTCAAAATTAACTTAGCTGTCATTAAAACTGCATAGCATGGGACATGTGGCCCAACTCCAGATACGGCTTTTTAGTATCTCTATTTTGGCAAATGTATTGCATTTGCCTCTCTTTCAAAAGAAGCAATTATATTTTCATGCTGCTTTTGAAGGATGAGTGAATTTGGGATATAATGGAAGTTCCTTTTAGTGACATAACCTATTCTCCGTTTACTTCCAGCTCTGCTGTACTTGGGACTTATTCTTGAAAAAATTATGTGCTTGGATAGTGTTGAAGACTATGTGAGATGTAAATGAAGGAATATGTGTAGTTCCTTAAACCTTGCATGTTTCTTGCAGAACAGAAGCCTAATATAAGTCTATCTCTAAACCTGTGTTTACGTGACTGCAGTGGTTTGAATCTGAAGCTGATTCTCCTTTTCTGGTTCTCTTCTTTCGCTCTTTAAAGTTGTGTATCACCCTTCAGCTTATATTGTATCAGGCTGCTCATGTTATTGAAGAACATATATAGCACTTTTTTTTTCTGTTTGTAGATTGAAGAACGAGCAGAGTTTTTGAACAAATCCGCTCAGAAGAGGTAAAGTAATAAACTGCTAGTTACAAAAAAATAAATAGGTTAAATCAAAGCTGGAAAGTGCTTGATCAGAGTAATCATATCTTTCTTTTTAATCCCTACCCCAAACAGTGGTGCAAAGCCCACTCACTCTGCAACAGTTGTCTCCAAGATTGACAGCCGACTTGAGCAATACACAAGTGCAATTGAGGTATGTGGAACTGTATTAACTGAAGCAGGCGATTGCTTTTGTGACTATTCTAATCAGGTCACCTTTTAGCATCTAAGTGTTCACACTTACCTGAAGCAGCCTTCACAATTCTGCAGCCCTTTTATTGTTACATTTTCCTGCTTCTGTCTAAAGCCTTAGTTGCATCTGCTGTTCTAGATGGGGGTTTGAAGGCCTCTAAAAACCAGTAAAGTACTCAGCCCAGCATCCTCATATATTAGGCACCTTCGTGTCCCTGCCTTCCTAAAAGACAGGAGGGCTTAACCAAAGGTGTGTGACTCATGATAGGGTCAGACAGTGACTCCGTACCAGAGCCAGGAACAGAGTCCACATCTTCAGCTCCTAGTTCCGTAGTCTGACCATAAGAACAGGCCTCCATGAATTCTTTGCAGTATAATCTCTCTTGAGACAGTTTTACCACCCTGCACAGGTAGTAAAAGTAACACAAGGGGTGGGGGCAAGTGGGTAACCATGCTGGGTGCCAACTTAGAGGGGGCACCAGGGTGGTAGCCCTGTGGGGATCCCATACCATGGTACAGCAGGCAGCAGCCCAGGGTTTTTGAATCCCTGGGGAAGGTAAGACTTCTGCACTCGGCTCACTTTTTCCTCTGGCACTCAGTAGCACACCCCCGTTTTCCCTGCTCCCTCCACAAGCCCTGGTAGGGTTTTGCCTAGGGTACAGACCTTGCTGCAGATGCCAAATGAGGAAGGAGAGGAAGAGAGCACAATAAACTTTGTTATGTGACTGTGTTAAAGAATCAGTCTTGTTTTTAGTACCATTGTAACTTAGATAAGGAAAAGAGCACATGGTGTAGATGCTATACCCTATTCAGGTTGAAGCCCTGAAAAAAACAACCAGTCCTTATCATTGTCCTTGTTCACCTGGATGCTGTTAAATTTAAAGAAGTGGTACAAAATGGGTGTCTTACAGCTGTCCTCTTTCCCTTTGGAATCTGAGTAAGTCGTAAGTGTAACAAGCTCAAAGGGCCTAAAACTTTACCATGTGTCCTGACATTGTATTAGACACCTACAAATGAATGGGTGAGGATGTAACAATAGTCCTATCCTTCCACAAAGTGGGATTCATGCAACAGGGAGCTCTGGTGTTGCCATGCCAGAAACACTGGAACAACGAGTATCAATGATTGGTGCTCTGTTGATTTCAGTAAATCTGGACTGATGTGTGCGTTGAGTACATGTATGAATTGGCGCTTTGTGACATGCGAGTTGGCTTTTCATGCTGGAGAAGTAGGGCAGAGTTTTGAAACAATGTGACTGGTCACTGTACAGCCACCATCTAGTTTTAATGGGTACCTGTAGACATGCCTGGAGGCAGCTCCAACGTGTTGTAATTACTGCTCTGAAGTTCTGTGATTTATTGAGTCTGCTAGAGCGTGCTACAGCCAGCCTCCACATCTCATGTATCAGTGCCCCACATTTCAAAATGGTGTGGGGCCCAGAGATACTGATTCTTGAGATGGTGTGGATGCTTTAACTAAAGTGGCTCTTGCAGCTACTCTAATTAAAGCACTCTTCCCTCTGCTCCCTTCCCATCCCCAGAGCATGAGGCACGTGTAAAAACACCCAATGTGCTGATGCAGAATTGCTGATTTTTTTCAATGGGGATATGCAGTCTTAAGTTGATTTGCAATTAAGCATATACTTTACAATACTTGTGACTGTCACAGACTGGCTATAGAGAGGCTGGCACTAATATTTGGTAACCCTGTAAAAGTGTCCCATCTTACAGATACTTTCAGCAGCTGAAGTCTGTCCCAAAGGTTTCAGAAAGTAATAACTTGTCAGCATTAGAGGGAGAAAGTGGAATATACTGTATTTATCAATCTTTATTAGGGCCTTCCTCTCAGAGTATCCTTCCCTTTTTACTTACGTAGCAACCAGAGACAATTTTTTCTGAGGGAGATGGATATGCTTGAGAGGGTGCAGGGCAAACCCAGGGGTCAGCACAGTTTTGTGAGCATGTGTTCTTTTGCAGTTTACCACAAACCTTGTAAATGCACGTGCACAAAATCTGCAGGAATGTGGTTCCCATAAATTAGCCTGTTGTGGCGTTGGACACAACTGTATTTAAAAATGGGTGAGGATCTCAACCATATTCTTTCTAAGAAATCTTTCTCTTCATCACTTCATATTGTCATCAGTAGAACATATTGCTAGTTAACATGCAATGTATTGCTCAGTAAAGCTCCAGGGCTCTAGATCACTCCTGACACCAGTTTTAATTTTAAGCACAAAGTAGTCTCTCTCTTGCAGGGCACCAAGGCTTCAAAACCTACCAAGCCAGCAGCCTCTGATCTTCCAGTCCCAGCTGAGGGTGTTCGTAACATTAAGAGCATGTGGGAGAAAGGGAATGTTTTCTCATCACCTTCTGGGACAGGGACACCCAATAAGGTATATATTTCTGTTTTGCCTATTGTTTATCTAGGACCTGATTCTGCACTCCTTACTTCTGTGAGTATTCATTCCTCTGAGCAGTCCTGTCAAGGTCATTGGAAGAGAAAGAGGTTCAGCATCTTGAAGGATTGGGTCCACAAACGCCCAGCTACCAGTTCTAGATTGACTACAACATTAGGCAACGTGGGGAATTTAGTGCCATAGTGGGCTTAGTTATAAAGTTCCTGCTGGGACACCACATGTCATATCTGACAGCTACAACTGAGAAGCTCATACTATGTAAAGAGGCTCTCTGAGTTGTGATGGCTGTTTTATGATGCAAATTCTTACATAGTCTAAGCTTTATGTAATGGGTTAGTTTGACAATCAAAAACTTGCCTGAAATGTGGGATGGGTGGGTAATCCTTCTAGCTTAGCTCACCTGGTGTCAGTACTGTGTTGATAACGACCCTGAAAATGTCATTTTCAAGGCTCCTGTTAGAGGCAAGGCTCTCTGAGTATCAGTGTGACAAGCCTTCATAAAGTGTCAAGACTTTAGAGGCTGAGGACAGGTTCTGAGTAACAGTGGAACCAGCATTAATGAGGTGGGAAAGACTGAGAGCAGACTGTGCCTGCTGTTGAACTAGCTGTTTAATTTTAATTGGCTTAAGCAGCTTCTTTAATATTGAGATCAATGGGATTTGGAAATGGCTTGTGCTATATGCACAATTTAAATGGTTGCCAGTTTACCCAGTAGAGTCTTAAGTGGCTTAGATTGTAGTCTGACTGCTTCCAGCTTGTTTTTCATGGGGGTATTTGCAAAAGTATATTGTATCTTCTCTCTCTAAATTCATAAACCAGGGGTCAATGTGAGTTGAAAGATGCTCAGCAAGTGTCAACAGAACCAACAAGCATTGATTTAGGTGCTGAGCTGTCAGCTAAGTTCAGAGCCAGTGGTGACCACTTTTGCTGTGTATCTTAAGAAATTACATTAACAACTTGTTTTGATGTTTAGGTCTCTGGTATATTGGAATTTAGGCTAAAGAGCTTTTCACTTGGGACGTGTAATATCTTCAAGCTATACAGGATGAATTCCAAACAGCCACAGACTTTTGGGGAGAAATTTTTCTTCAGTTTGGGGATTTGATTTTTCTTTAACCCCGAACTATGGATCCGTTAGGCAGGATTACATTAAAAAAATATCCAGTTAAATTGGTAAATGGTTATTTTGCAGGAAACAGCTGGACTGAAGGTTGGTGTTTCCAGTCGTATCAATGAATGGCTAACCAAGACCCCAGAGAGCAACAAATCGCCTTCTCCAAAACCTTCGGTAAGTACAACACCAGGCTTTTGGAGTATGGGTTCTCATTTGTGCCAATGGGAGAAAGCAATAAGGTAAATCTGCTAGGTCAAGGAATTAGATAGTTCTGTGGAAGGGATGGTAGGATGTTTCCCTACCAAGATGCTCAAGTTTACAGAAACACTAAAGCTGGTAAATAAGGATGAAGTTACATGTTACACTAAATCTCTGGAAGTGATGATAAGTGGTGTTAAAGTTAGAACGTGCTGTGAGCAGTCGCATGTTGAAGGTTAATAGAGTTTCTTGCCTCCAAAGCTTTGACTTATCACTAGAGGGCTGGTGAGGAGTGGCATTGCTAGGGTCCAGGACACTTGGGGAGCGTCCCCATGCATGGGAATGTGTGTGTCCCCAGGGACAAGAGCAGTGGCACAATATGTGCCACTGATACTTATCCTCGGGGAATGCCCATGCATGTGCACTCTGGCATGCGTCATGTTGCCCCAGGTGGGGTAGGGGAGGCTGGAGCCAGCACCTGGGGTCCTGGGGGCCTCTGGGGGCTGCACCCGCGGCGATCCCGCAGCAGGGAGCCTGGCCGGTAGCTGAAGCATGGCTCCACCTGGCCAGGCTCCAGTTTCGGGTGACACATGCTGCATACACGATTCCACCTTTTTTATCACAGTTTTTTTTTGACACTGGGATCTCCTTAAGGATGGTGAGGTTCCCCTGGGTTTCAAAGTCCATTTGTGGAAAGGTTTCTCTGTGACTATGCAGATTAGGCTGAGACATAGCTCCAGCAGGTTTCTTTCCTGAAGGTCAGATGTCAGGCAGGGAGTTGAATTTTTCTTACTTCCTGTTTAGCAATGAAGTTTACATTTCTAAATGGCTAATTACAGTACCTTCCATCTTTCAGGGATATAGCTTGTATCCAAAGGGTTTGTACCTGAAAGCTTGCAAAGAATTTTTTTTGTTATTATTCAGTTGGTTTAATAAAAGATATCACCTCAAGCCTGAGAGTTGTGTCTGCCTCTGCTTTTTAGACCAACATAGCTACAAGCCAGATTTTATCCCTGTTGCCATAGTAATCCCTGCTTCAGTGACCACAGGAGCAGCTCCGTAGGATTGCTCACCTCAGCTACAACGAGTGTCTGGTCCAGACCTCCAGTAGCTGCCTTCGTTAGTGGAGTTTGGGGCTTTCTGGCAGATAGAGCCACAAATGAAGGATGGAGGCACAAACCAATGCCCCCTCCTCACAGCCAAGTAGGGAAAAATAGGCTGAGAGCATTTCACAGAGGAAAAAACAGGAATGGGAATACGGCAGAGGAAAAGGGCTGGGTGTAAACTTCAGTTGCATCATAAGTAATGATGATTTTGGTGTTTTATTGAAAGACGCCTTCTCCTGATGTCTGTTGTGTTGTCTACTCAGTAAATAAGGTATCTCCCTGCTAATGTAGCATATGCTTTCTTGATTTACATATCTGTTATCTTTTAATAGGTTTGCTTATAATTTGCAATGGCTGCTCTTTGTAAATCAGCATTTTTCAACAGCTGTGTAACACTGTGTAACCACAGTGCCTGAATAAATAACCCCCTTCCTCCCCAAACTGTGATAAGTGCTTAACAGCAGTTAAAATAAATTAGCATAGAGGCAAACTCTTATATTTTTAAAATTTTCTTTCCTTTTTCTAAATGACAGTGAGAACCTGGATCTAACCTCTCCTTTCCTCAACCATCTCTCTCTCTCTCTCTTTCTGTCTCTCAGCGGATTGCTCTTTCCTTTCAATCTCTCTCCTTGAGTGGACTCCTCTAGATGCCTGCTTGCCTTCTGTTTTTTTTTGGATTGGGGGGGCCTCTTTGCTAAGCTGGTCAGGTAAATTTGTTTATAATTTACTCTAAGCAATAAATCTAGGGTTTTAAGGCTATTTATAAGTCACGATGGTCTCTGTTCCTAAGCCACCTCTTTTTTCTTCCTCCCCAGCCCTAGGGCATAGTTGTCCTTCCTTCTTCCTTTCCAAAAATCTAAAACAATATTCTTTGCCAACTGTTAGAGACATGAAGTTCAGGAACAGCCTCCTCATGGAGGTGATGGGGAGGATGGAGGTGGGGAGTAAAATTGCTGTCTAGTTGTAAGACAAAGCTTTTTGAGTTTGGGAGATGATATGCGATTTGTCTACAACAGCAGAAGATAGGACTCTGACCCATGAGATTTCTTTCAGTTTTATACTGGAGAGGTGAGTCATGTGGCCAGTCCTTTGGAGATTTGTGCTGTCAGTATTGTTGAACAATCTTTTTTTGGAGGTCAAAAATTGCCCAGCAACAGTTGTAACTTCTCTAGCTTTGTTTTTGGCACATTCTAGAGAGTCACAGCTTACTGAAGTATATCCATGATCCCTGGCTGGACTTTGTCTCCTAGACTTTGGGTTACTTTGGGAGATGTGGATAGGCCTCCTTCTGGAGGATGAATTGCAATAATACGATAAATTCTGTTGTTACAGAACTGTAAATCCACCTGACTGCAGAATTTTACAGAGCAGTACACATGTATCCGGGGTGAATATGTGAATGGCCATTATGTAAATCTTGCTATACAGTGAGAAAAAATGTTGTGCATTGTTTTGGGTGTTCATAAAGTGTTTCCTTCTACATTTACTGTCTTTAAGAGAAAAAAACAAACAAAAACCATTGTCTTTGCCTGGGGAGTGCCAGTGGTACTTAAGAGGCACTGAGGAAATAAAATACCAGCTGCTGTCTCTGCTACTTACGGAATGGCTGTTGAACACATTCTCTGTCTTAGAAATGAAAAAAAGCTGTATTTTCCCTTCTTTGCTCATACCTTCTTGTATGGCATATATCACAGAAGCAAAAAAAGGATGTACATAATGTGTAAATAAAGGTTCTTCAGGCCAAACTTTGCCATCAGTCCTTGTTCATATGTGAAAAACTGTCACGAGTGGGATTTGCACAGTTCTCGTGTGGGTGTTCCTGTAGGAAGTTCCTGCTGGGCAACACAGCCCTTAATTTGCCTTAATAACACAAATTTGAACTAATCTTAGTTTCTATTTTCTTGCTTCTCTTCCAAAAATAAAACAGGATTTAAGACCAGGAGATGTATCCGGCAAACGTAATCTCTGGGAGAAGCAGTCAGTTGAAAAGACAACCTCTACTACTAAGGTACCATCACCATAGGCCAGAAAAAGATCTATGCAGCAGTGAATTTTTAAGTCCCTTTTATGAAGAACTAAGTGTTAGTCGTTTGCTAGGAATAAATGTTTCCATTATGAATAATAATAATAATAATAATTCTTCTTATATATAATCTTATTTAAAAATGGATTTTTTTTCAATGCAGGTAACGACTATGGGGAAAAAGTCAGAGACTAATGGTAAGTGAGGCTAATTATTCTCCTGAACATTAAATGGAAGCCTTTCCACATTTTCATACAGACGTATACAGCTTTTAAAATGATAATACCATTAATGGTAATAAAAAGAAATTGCTTCCTTTGCCTTTCAAACAAATTAGTTGCAATTATCGCATCCGTAACTAACATGAAAAATATTTTGGAGTTAGAAGTCCAAATCTGTCTTCTATGATGACTAAATCAATACAGTTCTCTAGTTGTTTTCCGAGCCTGGTGTGAACAACATATGTAATACATTTGATGTAGCAGCAGCCTTCCATTAAACTGTGTGAGGTCCAAAGAATGGGACAGTCATTTTACTAACAGAAGTTGTCAGGCATCTGGGAATAGTCCTTTTAAAGTCCGTAGTGGGAGTGGATCTGATTTTTTTATTTATAATAATAAAAAAAGCGACTAGCTGATTAAGGCTAATGTCACAGCATTGTTTATCCAAATGGTTCCATTGAAATAGAAACCTTCAAAACATCTTAAAACAAACCCATAAAATAATGCTAAACAATACCAACAGCTAAGAGTAAAGTCTCAAGAAAAATGAACAGCCACTTGCTGCTTTTTAAAAAAATTAATCTTGGAAATCAGTGAGTGCCCTCAACCTCTGTAAATTCATCTGAGCAGATTTCAAATGCTCTTGGCCTCAGGCCTGCACTGGCTGCCACAGCAAACTGGTACCTTCTCACACTGCAAGCTGTGCTTAGCATTTCCATTTTGGCCATGTTAGGATTGAATAGTGTGAGAATTTTGACAGGGCCGTTTGGAAAGGAAAAAGCAAAGAACGCCAACCAGAGGAAACAACCTTTGAGAAATACAAGGGTGGGGAACAAAGAGTTCT